GTACCAGATGTGATGAAGAGCCTCCTCTTGCTACGTGGACTTGAGGATGAAGCTCCCTAACATGCGTCCCACCTCCATCCAGCTCTTCTCTATTGGGTGACAATCGTCGGAAAGCCACAAAGTTACTATTTTTTCACTCCATTGGATGACAGCCATCAGAGACGATTCGACAACCCATTTCATTGATCTCTAGACTTCGCAAAGAGATCTAGAGATTGCCCACGTCATCCTTGTCCAAGGAGAGCCTTCGAGGCCATAGATACTACATGATAATCCTCTCGAAGCTCAGGATTCTGGTGCATCACTCACGCATCATCGTTGTGATGCCAGAACTCTTTTTTCTTACTTTCAACTTAATTTTCATTTCATTTAGTAATAATTTATTTATTTTAAATTTACCAAGATATACTTCATTTTAATATGATTCTTCTAGCTTTTATAGATCTTAATTTGATAAATTAAATTGTTTGTAATTATTTACGTAAGAATCATCAGACGAAACTCTATTTCTACTCGATTTGCGTTCACCGGGTGCTGACATCATCTTGGTGTATGCACCCTTATTTTAAATATATTTCTTTTTCATTTCCTAGTATAAAATTTTTAAAAAATAGTATTCTTGAAATTTTTTGAATAACTACCCAATATTATATTACATCCCTATGATAGACTTGGAAAATTATCACTATTTTTTGAAGTTTAATTGAATTATAATTGATATATGTTTTCAGAAATACTTTTAAATATCAAAAAAATTATATTTTCTAATTTTCTAAATTTTAAATTTGCATGATTTATTATACAATGACTAAGTCACATTAAATTTTGGTGCCATTGTCGAGTATGTATTGCATAATATTTAGTATTTTTCTATTTTTCTCTTAGAATACACAGAAAAAAATTTAACACTTATTTTATTTTCTTCTCGCGGAAATTTTTTAGAAAAAGAAAATGAAACGAAGCAAGGCAAGGACTGGAGCATACTGAAAGAGGGTAACAACTACTAAACTTTTCTCTCGAATTTATTGATTTTTTATGCATGGTTAAAGATCATTGCATCTAAGGCTAGAAAATCTTTTTATTATTTCATTCAAAACTAAAAAGTTTAAAGAAAAATTAATTTTGATGGATCTTGAAGGAAGTACAGGTCGAACTGAGAACAACCCTATGGCCATGAAAAATTATTATATCCCTGATTCATTTCAAAAAGCTTCTAATATTAGAGTCCCATTAGCACCCACTCTTAAATTCGAAATAAATCTAAGAATTTTTCAAATGCTCCCTAATTTTCATGGATTGCCTTTAGAGGAACCTCATCAGCACTTAAAATTTTTTCATATGATTTGTGATTTAGTTAATCTCCCTCAAGTTACATTGAAAATTATTAAGATGAAATTATTTCCTCATACACGTAAGGATAAAGCTAGTCATTGGCTATCCACATTAGATAGAGAATTAACTAGCTAGAAAGACATCGAACAGACCTTTCTTTGAAAATTTTATCCTTTAGGAAAAACTCAAAATATGAGAAAACATATATGGAGTTTTTCTCAAAGATTAGGAGAAACTTTACATGAGACATGGAAAAAGTTTAAAGATTTACTTAGAATGTGTCCTCATGATGCTATACCCAAGTGACAGCTCAATAGAATTTTTTATGATAGATTATTAGAACAACATAAAAATATGGTTGATTCTATATGTGAAGGAGCTTTTGTGGAGAAAACCTCTAATGAAATTTATAGTCTTTATGAGAATTTAAGTGAAAATTCTAGAGATCAAGCCTCTTTTGAATTATATGATAGGGATAAGAAGAGAGAAATTTATGAATTGCATAATGATAATGATTCTAAATTTATAAATGAGGTTAATTAGATTAATTAAAGATTAGAAAAACTTGATTTACTTATTGACAATATTAGAAAGCCTCTTAACCCTCAATTTTATTCAAATAGTATATGTCCTATGTATGGTGAAAATGATAATTTCGAATTTCAATATCATGCTAGGCAAGAACAAGTGTAGGTACCCCACAATTTTAGTAAAAATAGAAAATATTTTTTAAATTTTTATAATCCTAATTAGAGAAATAATTTTTCGTAGAGAAACTCAAATAATATTGAAAATTGAGAAGCACTTAGATTCAATTCAAATTTGAAATTTTGTCCAAAACAAAAACAGATTTCTGAAAAATCAGTCCTCTGAAACACAACCTGATGCTATGGAAATGATGTAGTAAATGAGTCAAATGATGCAACAAACTATGAATCAAATAATGTTGCACCAAAAATAAATTATAGAGGCTTTTGAGAATAGGAGAAAAGAGGGACAGCCACCCAATCAGCTCATAAAAAATTCAGGAAATTGTCCAATAATAGGATTTCAATAAGGAGAATCTAGTTGGATAAATCTAGAAAAAAACCTACGAAATGAAAATATTAGGACAGTGAATACGTTGAGTGAGAATATTTTACTTGGTCCTTATTTCTAATTATTAGAAGATATTGATGAGCCATTAGAAGTAACTAAGAATATTAATACTAAAAATATAGTAGCAAAAAATTTAAATAAAATCATTTATTGCTCACATTTGATAAATGAATATAGTAAGGATGATAAGAAGAAAGAGCCCTTAAATGAAAAAATAATAGTTGATCATAGAAAAATCATCTAAATTTTAGTAAAAGGGAGTAAGGACAAAAATGAAGAAAAATATATTTGAGGTGAGGAAAAATCAATTGATTTAGGAGATGTAGAAGACGAAATTAATAAATTTCATCATAATTTTGCAACCATGAATGTTGATAATGAGGATGATGATGTATATCATATATCGAAATTAAAAGATAACTCTTGGAAAGATAAAGAATTTGATGAGTTGAGAAATGAAAAGCTAGAAAAAGAGTTGATTCGACTAATGGGGAGAAACAAAAAATAGTGGATATGAATATAGAGATAATTTTGGAAGAGAATTTAAATTTTACTGAATTCATTAGATCTGAGATTAAAGAAGACAATCCTTCCATCTTTTAAAACTCACAACCCATTAGAATTATTTCTAAGCTTGAAATATTTCACTCCTTACAAATTGAACAAACATGTATGGTAGATAAAATGGAGTAGGGGAATATTATACAAGACATTAAGAAATAGATGAATGGAAGAATTAGAAATATCAATTTAGATGAAAAAATTCAAGATTAGATAAGAGCTAATTTAAAAATTATATGGCTTGATCACATTTTATGGACTATTAATAGAAAGTATTTATTAATGAATGAGAGCCTTACAAAATAAGATATAAACAAAGAAAGATTCTTTTCAAAATGGAAATATTAGTTTTAGGAAAATTTTGTTAATTTCTATTTTGTTTTGACTGAAAATATGTCAAGGTATATATATGAAGTATATGAATTTATGCTAAATTTGAAAAAGAATATCATGAAACTTACCTTGGGATACAAATATATTTTGATGGCCATAGATTATCTTATATGATCTGAGAGTTGTCCAGCTAAAGAGATTAAATTCAGAACTACATGAGAGGAAACCCATGGTTTTATTTTTTTTATTTTTTTATTTTTTTAAGCTTTGTTTTTCTTAGAATTTTGCAGTACTTCTTTTTGTATTTATTTTTTTTTTGAAAAAGTGCAAGAGGAGGAGTGTAAGATGAAGTGGAAAATTAAAAACAAGGTTGAGGTGATGTCTTTTTGAGCTTTATCATTTATGACAACATTTTTAATATTTAACTTTGCATTTATGCATGCTTCACTTGAAAATTATATTTTCTAGAAATTTTGTTTCAATTTTTCTGTGTCATTGAGGACAATGCCATTTTAAGTTGGGGGGTGAAGTATTAATTATTAATTCATGCTGTAGGATGATAAAGAACATGTGTTTGTATTTTAGTTTTATTTTTTCATGCTCACTTAGAACATCAACTAAATAAATAAATAAATAAATTGGGAAAAACTAAAACATCTCTTTTCTAGTTTTCTATCATGAACAATAGACTGTCAAAAATAGTAGATAAAAAATAGCCCAAAATTTGAAATTCTAGAGACCCTTGTCTCACATTTCAATCCTCTAGACATATATTACTAAAATTTGAAATTACAATTATAAAGAGGATAGTTTTGATTTATTTTTGACAAATTTATTGTTGCTAAAAAAAGAACTGCTAGAACTATCTAATTTACAAATTTCTTACATCATATTGCATGCATGAAAAATTAAATCAATTAGATTGATTGATATCAAAAGATACTAAGAAGATTATTATTGAGTCAAAAGAATGATCTAGTAGCATGAAATATTAGAATATTCCTTAGATACTAACATGACTCAGTCATTGTATATTAAATCATGCAAATTTCAAATTTATAAAACTAGAAAATATGAATTTTCAGATATTTAGAAGTATTTATAAATAAATATATCAATTATAATTCAATAAAATTTCCAAAAATAGCAGTGATTTTCTAAGTCGATCACAAAGATGTAATATAATATCTAGAAATTATTCAGAATTTGTCTCAATGAATACGATTTTATATGAATTTTATACTAAGAAATGAAAAGGAAATATATTTAAAACTCAGAAAAAAAAGAGAAATAAGGGTGTGGACGTCGGGATGATGTCAACGCCTGGCAAATGCAAATCGGGCGGAAATAGAGTTCCGCTCGGTGATTCTTACATAAGCGATTATAGATGATTTAATTAATCAAATTAAGATATTTAAAAGCTATAAGAATTGTAATTAAACAAAGTATATTTTGGTAACTTAAAAGCATAAAAATTATCACTAAATGAAGCATAAAGTAAATTGAAAGTAGGAAAATAAAGTTCTAGTGTTGCGACAGAGATGCGCGACAATGCACCAGAATCTTGAGCATTCAGGAGGATCGTCATGTAGTGTTCATGGTCTCGAAGGCTCTCCTTAAACAAAGACGACATGGGCAATCTCTAGATCTTCTTGCGAAGTCTAGAGATTAATGAAATGGGTCGTCGAGTCATCTTTGGCGGCTGTCACCCAGTGAAGCAGAAAAATGGCAACTTTGCGGCTCTCCGACAGCTGTCACTTGACGGAGAGGAGCTAGATGGAGGTGGGGTGCGTGTTAGGGAGCTTCATCCTTAGGTCCGTGCAGCAAGAGGAGGCTCTTCATCACATTTGGTACGCTCTCCCAGAAAATCATCCTCTTCTCAACGACGGCTTGTTCGTCAATCAATCAGAGATGATTTACTCGATGGATTGTAATCCTTTTATCATGAATTATTCAACAATTTTAGTAGCAATGCTCTGTAAATCGTGTTGACGAGATTTTTGCCAATGATCTAGTGATTCTAGTTGCTTAATCTTTCACCAGTGATCTATAAGAAAGTCGTGATAATCAGATAAAAATATATGAATTTTGATTCTAAGAGGATTCAAAACTGCGCCGGTCGCCCACCTCTAAGGAAGGTGTGATGGGGGTTTAGTCCCACATTAGTTGTGCACTGATTTTTTGGGCGAGTATATAGTAGCATTAGCTTTCTAAGCAAAGTCCTTTCTCTCATGTGTACGACCACCCCTTGCCCCACAACCGGCTAGCCACCGGTGACGTGGAAGGAGAGCGGTGCACACATACCCCTATCGGTCCAAGCCAAGTCGCTCGAGCCCCTACTCACAACTACTCCCTGACTACACTTCCAACCTGCTTGCGGGCCCGGCTGGCCAGCAAGTCCCCTCATTTTGTAATATTTTTATTTTTATTTCTTGTTCTTCATTTATCTCAAAAGTAAGACTATAAAAATCATATAAAATCACATAATTACCTAAAAAATTATGTTAATCAATTAAAAACCACTTTTCATACTTTAACACAAATATAAGTCTATTTATCATGAGTTAAGGCTAAAACTATATTATTTACTAATTATTAACTCATGATAATGAAGACTTATCACACCCCCCAACTTAAATCATTGCTAGTCCCTTAGCAATAGAATTACGAAAATAAAATTTAACAAATCTCAAACATCATATTTCAATACAAAAGAAAAAATACAATTAGAAATGATCCACCTTTAAACACTTTAGATTCTTATATCAAGTATTTAAGAATGATGTCAAGTACTTAAATGTTTAAACACTCCGTGAAATAACAATCTAGACTTCATTTCTTCTATTCACATCTTTATCACTTCTTCACTCATAGATGTATTTACAAGTTGTTTCAATTATCAATACTCATCTAAGAATAATATTGATCCTACATTTCTCTTTTTCTATGGCTTGATTTTTGAAGTTTACACTACATTTCTTCCTTCTTTATATATATATATATATATATATAGTGGATAAGTAGTTTTTCCTATAGACAAATTTCGACAATAAGAATGATGTCTCACACCCTCTATGTGTACTCTTTATTTTCAAGGCTTTCACTTTATCCACTTATTTTTCAGCAAATGTTTTTTTATGCACGATTTTCGAGAATGAGAATGATGTCTCACACCCTCCATGTGTACTCTTCGTTTCTAGATTTTTCACATTGCTCTTTCTTTTTTTTTCGAAATAAGTGATTTCTCCTCATAAGTCCTATAGATCAAGGTGTAAAAATCTCCTTAAACTCAAATGATCAATCAAATTTTCACATCAAGTAAATACTTTCCATCAAGATCATGAAGTGAAAATCAGTAAAATCAAATTCATGTTATCTATCATGTATCCAAGGAGTATTCCAACATTTCATGCTACTAGATCATTCTTTTAACTCAATAATAATCTTCCTAGTATCTATTTGGTATCAATCAATCTAATTGATTTAATTTTTCATACATATAATATGATGTAAGAAATTTGTAAATTAGATAGTTCTGATAGTTCCGTTTTCTATTTTCAGTTCTATTTTTAGCATAATAAATTTGTCAAAAATAAATCAAAACTATCCTCTTTATAGATTTAATTTCGAATTTCAGTAATATATGTCTAAGGGATTGAAATGTGAGAAAAGGGTCTCTAGAATTTCTAATTTTGGGCTATTTTTTGTCTGTTATTTTTGACAACATTGCTCCTAATAGAAAACCATAAAATAAATGTTGCAGTTTTTCTGAATTTTATTTTATTTTTATTTTTTTAGTTGCTATTCTAAGTTGAATAAAATGCAAACACATATTCTTAATCGTCTTACAATATAAATTACTAATGAATACTTCAGCTTCCAACTTAAAAATGACATTGTCCTCAATGACATAGAAAAATTGAAACAAAATATGCAGAAAATATAATTTTCACGTGAAGCATGCATATATGCAAAGTTAAGCATTAAAAATGTTGTCATAAATGATAAAGCTCCGAAAGACATCACCTCAACCTCATTTTTAATTTTCTACTTTGTCTTACACTCCTCCTCCTGCACTTTTTCAAAAAAACAAATACAAAAAAAAGTACTACGAAATTCTAAGAAAAACAGAGCTTAAAAAAAATCAAACAGAATGAAATAAAAACCATAGGTTGCCTCCCATGCAGCGCTGTATTTAATGTCTCCAGTTGGACAGCTCTTAGATCATATAAGATGATCTATGGCCATCAAAATATATTTGTATCCCAAGGTAAGTTTCATGATATTCTTTTTCAGATTTAGCATAAATTCATATACTTCATATATATACCTTGACATACTTTCAGCCAAAACAAAATGGAAATTAACAAAATTTTCTCAAAAATAATATTTCTATTTTGAAAAGAATGTTTTCTTATTTCTATCTTGTTTTGTTAGGCTCTCATTCATTAATAAATACTTTCTATTAATAAACCATAAAATGTGATCAGGCCATATAATTTTCAAATTAGCTCTTGCCCAATTTAATTTTTTTATTTAAATTGGTATCTCTAATTCTTCCACTCACCCATTTCTTAATGTCTTCTTTTATCTGCATAATCTACCCTTGCTCCATTTTATTTTCCATACATATTTGTTCAATTTGCGAGGAGTGAAATATTTCAAGCTTAGAAATAATTCTAATGGGCTGTGGGTTTTGAAGGATGGAAGGATTGTCTTCTTTAATCTCAGATCTAATAAATTCAGGAAAATTTAAATTTTCTCCTCCAAAATTATTTCTATATTCATATCCATTATTTTCGTTTCTCCCCATTAGTTGAATCAATTCTTTTTCTAGCTTTTCGTTTCTCAATTCATCAAATTCTTCATCTTCCCAAGAGCTATCTTTTAATTTTGGTATATGATATACATCATCATCCTCACAATCAATATCTATGGCTGCAAAATTATGATTATATTCATTAATTTCGTCTCCTACTTCTCCCAAATCAACTGATTTTTTCTCACTTGAAATATGTTTTTCTTTATTTCTATCCTTACTCCCTTCTACTAAAATTTAGATGATTTTTTTATGATCAGTTGCTGTTTCTTCATCAAGGGTTCTTTCTCCTCATCATCCTTGCTATATTCATTCATCAATTGTGAGTAATAAATGGTTTTATTCAAATTTTCTGCTACTATATTTTCGGCCTTAATATTCTCATTTACTTCTAATAGATCATCAATTTCTTCTAATAATTAGAAATAAAGATCAGGTAAAATATTCTCACTCAATGTATTCACTGTTCTAACATTTTCATTTCGTTGGTTTTTTTCTAAATTTATCCAGCTAGACTTTTCTTGTTGAAATCTTACTGTTGGATAGTTTCTTGAATTTTCTATGGGCTGACTAAGTAGCTGTCCCTCTTCTCTCTTATTCTGAAGAGCCTTTAAAATTTATTTCTGATGCAGTATCATTTGATTCATAGTTTGTTCCATCATTTGGCTCATTTGCTACATCATTTCTATAGTATCATGTTGGGTTTGAGAGGGCTGATTTTTCTGAAATCTATTTTCTTGTTTTGGACGAAATTCAAAGTTTGAATTGGATCTAAGTGCTTCTAAATTTTGAATATTATTTGGGTTTCTCCATGAAAAATTATTCTCCCAATTAGGATTATAAGAATTAGAAAAATATTCCCTATTTTTACTAAAATCGTGGGGTACTTACACTTGTTCTTACCTAGGATGATATTGAAATTCGAAATGATCATTTTCACCATATGTAGGACGTGTACTATTTAAATTAAATTGAGGGTTAAGAGGCTTTGTAATATTGTCAATAAGTAAATCAAGTTTTTCTAATTTTTGATTAATCTGAGTAACCTCATTTCTAAGTTTAGAATTATCATCATGATGCAATTCATAAATTTCTCTCTTCATTTCTTTGTCATATAATTCAAAAGAGGTTTGATCTCTCGAATTTTCACTTAAATTCTCATAAAGACTGTAAATCTCATCAGGGGTTTTCTCCATAAAAGCTCCTTCACATATAGAATCAACCATATTTCTATGTTGTTCTAATAATCCATCATAAAAAATTCTATTGAGCTGCCACTTGGGTATAGCATGATGAGGACACTTTCTAAGTAAATCTATGAATATTTTCTATGTCTCATGTAAAGTTTCTCCTAGTCTTTGAGAAAAACTCCATATATGTTTTCTCATATTTTAAGTTTTCCCTAAGGGATAAAATTTTTGAAGAAAGGCCTATTTTATGTCTTTTTAGCTAGTTAATTCTCTATCTAATGTGGATAGCCAATGGCTAGCTTTGTCCCTAAGTGTATGAGGAAATAATTTCATCTTAATAATTTCTAGTGTAACTTGAGGGAGATTAACTAAATCACAGACCATATGAAATTTTTCTAAGTGCTGATGAGGTTCCTCTAAAGGCAATCCATGAAACTTAGAGAGCATTTGAAAAATTTCTAGATTTATTTCAAATTTAACATTAGGTGCTAATGGGACTCTAATATTTGATGTTCCTTAAAATGAATCAGGGATATAATACTTTTTCATGGTCATAGGATTGTTCTCAATTTGACCTATACTTCCTTCAAGATTCATCAAAATTTATCTTTCTTTTGGATTTTTATTTTTGAATGAAATAATCAAAAGATTTTCTAGCCTTGGATGCAAGGATCTTCTACCATGCATAAAAAAAATCAATAAATTCGAGGGAAAAGTTTAGTAATTGTTACCTTCCTTCAGTATGCTCTAGTCCTTGCCTTATTTCTTTTCATTCCTTTTTTCTAAAAAATAATCAGCAAAAAGAGAGTAAAACAAGAGTTTATTTTTTTTTGTGTACTCTGACGTGACTCAGTCGTTGTATGTTAAATCACGCAAATATAAAATTTATAAAACTAGAAAATACGAATTTTCGGATATTTAGAAGTATTTCAAAATAAATATATCAATTATAATTCAATAAAAATCCAAAAAATAGTGGTAATTTTCCAGGTCGATCACAAGGATGTAATATAATATCTGGTAATTATTCAGAATTTTTCTCAATAAATACGATTTTCTTACGAATTTTATACTAGGAAATAAAAAGGAAATATATTTAAAATTCACGAAAAAAAAAGGAAATAAGGGTGCGGGCGTCAGGATGATGTCAGCGCCCAGCGAACGTGAATCAGGCATAAAAAGAGTTCCATCCGGCGATTCTTACGTAAGCGATTATAGACGACTTAATTAATCAAATTAAGATCTGTAAAAGCCAAAAGAATCTTAATTTAATGAAGTATAGTTTGGTAAATTAAAATCACAAAAAGTATCACTAAATAAAGCGTAAATTAAATTGAAAGTAGGAAAACAGAGTTCTGGCGTCGCGACGGCGATGCGTCGACGATGCACCGGAATCTTGAGCGTTCGGGAGGATCGTCGTGCAGTGTCTACGGCCTCGAAGGCTCTCCTTGGACAAAGACGACGTGGGCAATCTCTAGATCTTCTCGCGAAGTCTAGAGATCAATGAAGTGGGTCGTCGAATCGTCTCCGGCGGCTGTCACCCGGTGGAGCGGAAAAACGGCGACTTTGCGGCTCTCCGGCGGCTGTCACCCGACGGAGAGGAGCTGGATGGAGGTGAGGCGCGTGTTAGGGAGCTTCATCCTTAGGTCTGCGCAGCAAGAGGAGGCTCTTCATCGCATCTGGTACGCTCTCAGGAGGTGGCGACTGGTCTCCCGGCGGATCGTCCTCTTCCTGACGACGGCTTGTTCGTCGATCAATTGGAGATGATTTACTCGATGGATTCGCGATCCTTTTATCGCGAATCGTTCAGCAATTTTAGTAGCAATGCTCTGCGAATCGCATTGACGAGATTTTCGCCCATGATCCAGCGATTCTCGTTGCTTAATCCTTCACTGGCGATCTGCAGGAAAGTCGCGATATTCAGATAAAAATATATTAATTTTGACTCTGGGAGGATTCGAACCTGCGCCGGTCACCCCCGCCTCTTCTGAGGAAGGTGTGGGTTTAGTCCCACATCGGTTGTACGCCGAGTTTTTGGGCGAATATATAGTAATGTTAGCTTTGTGAGCAAAGTCCCTTCTCTCGCGTGTACGACCACTCCTTGCCCCACAGCCGGCTGGCCACTAGTGACGTGGAAGGGGAGTGGCGTACGCGTGCCTGTCGGTCCCCAAACCAAGCCGCTCGAGCCCCTGCTCGCTGCTTACTCCCTGATTGTGCTTCCGACCCGCTTGCGGGCACGGCTAACCAGCGGGTCCCCCCATTTTTGCAATATTTTTATTTTTATTTTTTGTTCTACATTTATCTCAAAAGTAAGACTGTAAAAATCATATAAAATCACATAATTACCCAAAAATTCACGTTAATCAATTGAAAACCAAAAATCATTCTTTAACACAAATATAAGTCTATTTATCATGAGTTAAGGCTAAAACTATATTATTTACTAATTATTAACTCATGATAATGAAGACTTATCATACTCTAAGAGAAAAATAGAAAAATACTAAATATTATGCAATACATCCCCAGCAATGGTGCCAAAATTTGACATGACTTAGTTGTTGTATATTAAATCACGCAAATCTAAAATTTATAAAACTAGAAAATATAAATTTTTAGATCTTTAGAAGTATTTCTAAAAAAATATATCAATTATAATTCAATAAAACTTTCAAAAAAAGTGGTGATTTTCTAAGTCAATCACAAGGATGTAATATAATATCTAGAAATTATTCAGAATTTGTCTCAATGAATACGATTTTATATGAATTTAATACTAGAAAATCAAAAGGAAATATATTTAAAATTCACAAAAAAAGGGAAATAAGGGTGCGGACATCGGGATGATGTCAATGCCCGGCGAACACGAATCGGACAGAAATAGAGTTCGACCCAATGATTCTTACATAAGCGATTATAGACGATTTAATTAATCAAATTAAGATATGTAAAAGCCGAAAGAATCATAATTGAAGAAAGTATATTTTGGTAACTTAAAAACACAAAAATTATCACTAAGTGAAGCATAAAGTAAATTGAAAGCAAGAAAATAGAGTTCTGGTGTCGCGACGGCGATGTGTCGGCAATGCACTGAAATCCTAAGCGTTCGGGAGGATCGTTGTGTAGTGTCCATGGCCTCGAAGGCTCTCCTTAGACAAAGACGACGTGGGCAATCTCTAGATCTTCTTGTGAAGTCTAGAGATTAATGAAATGGGTCGTCAAGTCATCTTCAGTGGCTATCACTCGGCGGAGTAGAAAAACGGCGACTTTGCAGCTTTCTTACAGCTGTCACCCGACGGAGAAGAGCTAGATAGAGGTGGGGCGCATGTCAAGGAACTTCATCCTTAGGTTCCCACAGCAAGAGGAGGCTCTTCCTCGCATCTAGTATGCTCTCATGAGGTGGCGACTCGTCTCCCAGTGAATCGTCCTCTTCCCGACGACAGCTTGTTTGTCGATCAATCGGAGATGATTTACTTGATGGATTGCGATCCTTTTATTGCGAATCGTTCAGCAATTTTAGTAGCAATGCTCCGCGAATTGCATTGACGAGATTTTTGTTGATGATCCAACGATTTTGGTTGCTTAATCTTTCACCAGTGATCTGTAGGAAAGTCGTGATAATCAGATAAAAATATATAAATTTTGACTCTGGGAGGATTCAAAACCATGTCGGTCGCCCGCCTCTAAGGAAGGTGTGACGCGGGTTTAGTCCCACACAATTGTGCACCGATTTTTTGGGTGAATATATAGTAATGTTAGCTTTCTAAGCAAAGTTCTTTCTCTCACGTGTACGACCACTCCTTGCCCCACAGCCAACTAGCCACCGATGATGTGGGAGGGGAGTGGTGCACACATGCCCCTATTGGTCCAAGCCAAGCCGCTCGAGCCCCTACTCGCAGCTACTCCTTGACTGTGCTTCCAACCTACTTGTAGGCTTGACTGGTCGGCGGGTCCCCTCATTTTATAATATTTTTATTTTTATTTCTTGTTCTTTATTTATCTCAAAAGTAAGACTGTAAAAATAATATAAAATTATATAATTATTCAAAAATTCACGTTAATTAATTGAAAACCACTTTTCATACTTTAACACAAATATAAGTCTATTTATCATGAGTTAAGGCTAAAACTATATTATTTACTAATTATTAACTCATGATAATAAAGACTTATCAGATACATGATAAATAACATAGATTTCATTTTACAAATTTTCACTTCATGATCTTGATGGATAATATTTACTTGAAGTGAAAATTTGATTGATCATTTGGGTTTAATAGAGATTTTTACATCCTGATCTATTAAACTTGTGAGGAGAAATCACTTATTTCAAAAAGAGAGAGAGAGCAATGTGAAAATTCTAGAAATGAAGAGTACACATAGAGGGTGTGGGACATTATTCTCATTGTTGAAAATTATGTATAGAAAAATACTTGCTGTAAAATAAGTGGATAAAGTGAAAGCCTTGAAAATGAGGAGTGCACATGGAGGGTGTGAGACATCATTCTTATTGTCAAAATTTGTCTATAGGAAAAGCTACTTATCCACTATATATATAAAAAAAGAAAAAGAAAGAAGAAATATAGTACAAATTTTAAAAATCAAGTCATGAAAAAAAAGAAATATAGGATCAATATTATTTGTGGGGTAGTATTGATAATTGGAATATCTTATAAATATATCTATACATAAAGAAGTGTTAAAGATGTGAATAGAAGAAATGAAGTCTAGATTGTTATTCGAAGGAGTGCTTAAACATTTAAGTGCTTGACATCATTCTTAAATACTTGATATAAGAATCCAAAGTGTCTAAAAATGCATCATTTCTAATTGTATTTTTTTCTTGAAATATGATATTTGAGATTTGTAAATTTTTATTTTAGTAATTTTATTACTAAGGGACTAGAAATGATTTAAGTTGGGGGGTGTGATAAGTCTTCATTATCATGAGTTAATAATTAGTAAATAATATAGTTTTAGTCTTAACTCATGATAAATAGACTTATATTTTTCTTAAAGTGTGAAAAGTGGTTTTCAATTGATTAAGGTGAATTTTTGGGTAATTATGTGATTTTATACAAATTTATATGATTTTTATAGTCTTACTTTTGAGATAAATGAAGAAAAAGAAATTAAAATAAAAATAAGATAAAATAGGGTGACCCGCCAGCCAGCTAGGCCTACAAGCGAGTTGAAAGTGCAGTTGGGGAGTAGCCATGAGCAGGGGCTCGAGCAGCTTAGATCGATAGGTGCTCGTGTGTGCCACCCCCCTTCCATGTCACTAGTGGCCAGCTAATTGTGGGGCAAAGAGTGGTCGTACACATGTGAGAAAGGGGCTTGATCAGAAATATAATATTACTATATATTCGTCATAAACTTTTGCGCACAACTGATGTGGGACTAAACGTGCATCACACCCTCCCTAGAAAGGGTAGGCAACTAGCACGGGTTCGAATCCTCATAGAGCCAAAATTCATATTTTTTTATCTAATTATCATGACTTTTCTACATATTGTCGGTGAAGGATTAAGCAACCAGAATTGCTGGATCATCAGCAAAAATCTTGTCAACATGATTCGTGGAGTATTGTTACTAAAATTGCTGAACAATTCGTGATAAAAGGATCGCAAATCCATTGAGTAAAGCATCTCCGATTGATAGATGAACAAGTCATCGTTGGGAAGAAGACGATCCGCCGGGAGACAAGTCACCACCTCCTAAGAGTGTACTAGATGTGATGAAGAGCCTCATCTTACTACGCAGACCTAAGGATGAAGCTTCCTAACATGCATCCCACCTCTATCAGGTGACAGTTGTCAGAGAGCCGCAAAGTTATTATTTTTTCACTTTACTGGATGACAGCCATCGAAGATGATTTGACGACCTATTTCATTGATTTCTAGACTTCGCAAGGAGATCTAGAGATTACTCAAGTCATCCTTGTTTGTGGACACTGCACAATGATCCACTCAAATCCTTGAAGGAAAGCCTTCAAGGCTGTGGACACTACACAACGATCCTCTTAAATGCTCAAGATTCTGGTGCATCGCCGATGTATCATCGTTGCAATATTAGAACTCTACTTTCCTGCTTTCAACTTAGTTTTCGTTTCATTTAGTGATAATTTATTTATTTTAAATTTATCAAGATATACTTCATTTCATTATGATTCTTTCAGCTTTTACAGATCTTAATTTGATAAATTAAATTGTCTATAATCGATTACATAAGAATCGTCGAGCAGAACTCTATTTCCACCTGATTCATATTCACCAAGCACTGAAAATAATATAAAATTAATAGAAAAAAGTATTCTTTGAGAAAAATTCTGAATAATTACCTAATATTATATTACATCTCTATAATCAACCTAAAAGATTATTGTTATTTTTTAAAATAGGCGATTCATGTTCTCCCTCCCTTCACTTTACTCAAGTTCTCTACATTTCTGATTTTCCTATTAACCTTCTATCAGTGCTATTACATGTGCCTTCCTTTGTATAGTCACATTTTTTTGCTCTCACTATACTTTTCAGGATCTGCATATCTGATAGAAGATTAGTTTCGATTGTGAAAATAGGTGGGGTGTCTATGAACTCATTTTCTAATGAGCCCTCATTTAACATTCAGGACATTCTTATCTCTTCTACAACTACTTCTTTTCTTTTGTGACATCGCTATTTAGGCCATCTTTGTTTCTCTAAATTATAAATTTTTTTATTGTGGCTTTCTCTCTCTAAGTTTGTGTGTGAGTCTTATTAGTTAAGTAAACATCATTGTGCTTCTTATCTTAGTCATGATGGCATCCTCTCTTCTAATCTCTTTGACCTTCTATATTGCAATGTATGAGATTCATCTCGTACTTCTTCCATCTTGGGCCATCGTTATTACATCATTTTTATTGATGACTACATTGATATGAACTGTCTACTTCTTTCGTGATCGCTCTGAGGTTGTCACTGAAGTTATCTATTTCATCACAGAAGTTATCACTCATATATCACTATCCCTAAGATTCTTCATATTGATAATGCTCTAGAGTTTGTCCAAACATTTCTTTATCACCTTCTACAATGATTGTGACATCCTCTACCAAATCACATGCCCTCACACTTCATAGTAGAATGGTATTACCAAGCACAAATATTGCCAACTCTTTGACATCACTCACACACTTCTTTTTGAGATGAATGTCCCCCCACTATCTCTAGGTTGATGCCTTTATGACTACTACTTACCTTCAAAATTGACTTCCCTCTACTCTTCTTAGGGTGGTCATTTCTTTCTATCGCTTAATCCTTGATTCTCTTTTTTTTTCTTTTCCCCCTAGGGTCTTGGAATGCATCGCCTTTGTGTAGGATTCCTCTTCTTCTCTTTCTAAAGTCACCTCTTGTGCTCTTAAAAGGGTCTTTGTCAACTACTCTCACACACAAAAGGGTTACTGATGTAGGACAGGCTTGTAGAACCATCTTGACAGCAAAATATAGGTGAGGTAAGAATAGAGGAAGGAGTCTGATACACCATGAGTAATGCTAACCAAGGATTCTAGATGAAAAGTACTGAACTCAACTATGTGCAAGCAGCAGCAGAAATGCCATGACGTTGATAGTCCATTGTGACCAAGTGCTGCCAAGTGATTCTAATACAGGGTGATCCTCCAAGTCTATGTTCGGAGGGCATGGACTTAATGTTGTCGATGCAACTCCATGGTAAGTGCTCGTTCACCAACGTGACAATTCTAGCACATGCGCCAAAGTTGCACAGTGGAAACACTTAACATGTTCTAACCTAGCTAGGTCCAACGGTGGTGGAGTAGGTGCAAGATGATACTAAATGTAGTAAACAACTTGGGGAATAGGGGATAAGAGCTGACCTGCAAGGCAGAGGTCCAGTCGGTGTGTGGCAGGGCATCTAGCTGTCACCATGGGCAGGTGTCCTAGTGGTGGATATCGGCTAGGCTTGGCTGGGCTCAGTAGTATGGGCTTGGATAGGGTCGGATGAAGGGGCATGACCAAGTGGCTGGGCGCTTAGGTAGGCATCTGAGGTCAAGTTCAATGGTGAGCTCCGAGGGGCAGGCACGGTGGCATGCAGGCGGGCTTGCAACACACAAATGGAGTTGCTGTAATGGTCGCAAGACAAACGCATGGTTGAGCATGCGGCAGGCATGCACAACTAGCAGGCGCACAGGGTTGGTGCACTAACAGAGGCATGGCATGTGCTGATAGCCCGGAAGCGATGAAGACATCCTGGCAGTGGCTCGAGGGGCTGCTGATGGCCTAGAAGCCGCAGCGCAGACCTAGTGGTGATCCCCTTCCTCTCTTTGTCCTCTTGGAATGAGACTCCCAACCAAAACACATTTTCTCCTAAAGATGACGACTCTATTCTTGGGGGTGGCTCTCCACCCTAATGTAGGGCCCCAAATGGACCAAGGGTGGAGGGCCACACTTGAGGCCCAAGACACCAAAGCCCCAAAAAGGAACAGATAGAGTCCAAAATGGGCCCTCCTCTCCAATTGGGCCCAAATAAAGATGGCCCAAAAGAGAAGAGAGGCAAGGAAAGATGGGCGCCCTCTTCTCCAATGGGGCCCAAGCACATATGGCCCAATAGGAGAAGAGAGGAAAGAAAACAAAACAAAGGAAAATGGGTCTTCCCACCCCCACCATGGGCCCAACATAGACCCTAGGGATAGGAGGCCCCACACAAAGTAAAACTAGAACCCACACAATTTACAAATGAGGGAAACAAGTGAAGGGAAACATAAGATATGGAAAACATAAAGATGCCTTAGGCTGTATAGTGGAACCTAGGGTCCTTCATCTTCACTTGTGCTCCTCGATCTAGCTAGATACATGAGGATTGGGTCTTCTCTATCACCTCGAGCTCATGTAGTGGTGGAGACAGGTCCCATTCGCCACCAATTATTGAGTCTACTTCCCTAATACCCGTCACAATGTGACCTTAGCCGATGTCACTTTCCATGAGGAGTTTCTTTTCTTCTCTCCTATTTTGACTCCTCCTCCTTGAGCTGCTATGTCTCCTCCACCTAGGTTCCTTTCCTTGGTGGTTCTTGTAGACCCTCCCTCTTCTCTTCTCTCCTACCCACTCTCTTTGGGGTTGTTATCCACACTTGCCTCTCTTTAGCCCATGTCTCATGTGATTCCTCTTACTTTAGATGTAGTATCCTCCTCTTCCTTTCCTACAATCCCCTCTACATCTTTGGTTGCTACTCCACCTGATGACATTCATCTTTCTATTGTGTTTTACAAAAGTATCCCTACCTACTGATAAGTCTTCATTATCATGAGTTAATAATTAGTAAATAATATATTTTTAGCCTTAACTCATGATAAATAGACTTATATTTCTATTAAAGTGTGAAAAGTGGTTTTTAATTGATTAATGTGAAATTTTGGTTAATTGTGATTTTTCTGAATTTATATGATTTTTATAGTTTTATTTTTGAGATACATAAAGAAAAAGAAATTAAAATAAAAATATACCAAAAATGAGGGACTTGCTAACTAGTCGGGCCCATAAGTAGGTCAAAAGTACAGTTAAAGGGAGCCGCGAGTGGTGGCTCAAGCTGCTAAGATCGATGGGGGCATGTGCGCATCACTTTCCTTCCACATCACAAGTGGTCAGTTGACTATGAGGTAAGTAGTCGTACATGCAAGAGAAAGGGACTCATTGGTTATAGATATGATATTACTATATATTCGCTCAAAACTTTGATGCACAAACAATGTGGGACTAAACCTACCCCTCAAAAGACTTCGAGGATTTTAATTCTTAAATTACCTTTTCATTATAATAGAGATATACCATGATGACATCACTTGATAAAGACATTAGAATACTTATATCAATCTCTCTCATATAGATGGGCAACTAGCATGGGTTTGAATCCTTCTAGAGTCAAAACTCATATTTTTATCTGATTATCGCGACTTTCCTATAGATCACTGGTGAAAGATTAGGTTGTCAGAATCACCGGATCATCGGTAAAAATCTCATCAACGCAATTTGCAAAGTATTATTACTAAAATTATTAAATGATTCGCAATAAAAAGATCATGAATCCATCAAGTAAATGATCTTCGATTGATCGACAAATAAGTTGCCGTTGGGAAGAAGACAATCTGTCAAGAGATGAGCCGCCACCTCCTAAGAGCATACCGGATGTGATGAAGAGCCTCCTCTTGCTATGTAGACCTGAGGATAAAGCTCTCTAACATGTGTCCCACCTCTATCTAGCTTCTCCTCATTGGTGACAACTGCCGGAGAGTTGCAAAGTCACCATTTTTCCGCTCCGTCGAGAGACAGCCGTTGAAGATGATTTGACAACCCATTTCATTGATCTCTAAACTTCACAAGGAGATCTAGAGATTACCTATGTCATCCTTATCTAAAGAGAGCCTTCGAGACCATGGACATTACATGACCATCCTCCCGAATGCTCAAGATTTTGGTACATCACTGACACATTACCGTCGCGATGTTAGAACTCTATTTTTCTACTTTTAACTTAACTTTCACTTCATTTAGTGATAATTTGTGTAATTTAAATTTAGCAAGCTCTACTTCATTCAATTACGATTCTTTTAGATTTTATAGATCTTAATTTGATCAATTAAATCGTTTGTAATCACTTACGTAAGAATCACTAGACAAAACTCTATTTCCACGTGATTTGCATTCGTCAAGTGCTGATGTCATCCTAATGTTCACACCCTTATTTTATTTTTTCGTAAATTTTAAGTATATTTTATTTTCATTTCATAGTACAAACTTCATAAAAAATCCTATTATTTGAGATTTTTTTTGAAAAATTACTTGATATTATATTACACCCCTATGATTGATCTAAAAACTTACTACTATTTTTGAAAGTTTTATTTAATTATAATTGATATATTTATTCAGAAATACTTCTAAATATCTAAAAATTAGTATTTTCTAGTTTTATAAATTTTAAACTTATGTGATTTACTATACAACAAATAAGTCATGTCAAATTTTTCTAGATATGTATTACATAATGTCTAATACTTTTCTATTTTTCTCTTAGAGTATAAAAAAAACTAACTCTTATTTTATTTTCTTTTTGTCGAATTTAAAAAAAAAGAACGAAGAGAAGTAAAGTGAGGACTGGAACATACTTAAGGAGGGTAGCAACTATTAAAATTTTTCCACAAATTTATTTATTTTTATGTATGGTAGAAGATCCCTGCATCCAAGGCTAAAAAGTTTTTTTACTATTTCATTCAAAACTAAAAATCTGAAAGAAAAATTAATTTTGATGGATTTTGAAGGAAGTACAAGTCAAATTGAGAACAATCCTATGGTCATAAATAATTGTTATATCCTTGATTCATTTTAAAGAGCATTTAATATTAGAGTCTCATTAGCACCTATTGTTAAATTCGAAATAAATCCATGAATTTTTCAAATGCTCTTTAGTTTTTATGGACTGCCTTTTAGAGGAACCTCATCAGCATTTAGAAAAAAATTATGATCTGTGATTTAGTTAATCTCTCTCAAGTTATGCCAAAAATTATTAAGATGAAATTATTTTTTCATATACTTAGGGACAAAACTAGTGATTGGCTATCTACATTAGATAGAGAATTAACTAGTTGGAAAGATATAGAACAAGTTTTTCTTCGAAAATTTTATCCCATAGGAAAAACTCAAAATATAAGAAAAAATATATGGAGTTTTTCTCAAAGACCAAGAGAAACTTTGCATGAGACATGAATAAAAGATTTACTTAGAAAGTGTCATCATCATGCTATACTCAAGTGACAGCTCAATAGAATTTTTTATGATAGATTATTAGAACAATATAGAAATATGGTTGACTCTATATGTAGAAGAGCTTCTATGGAGAAAACTCCTGATGAGATTTATAATCTTTATGAGAATTTAAATAAAAATTCTAGAGATCAAGCCTCTTTTGAATTATATGACAAGGATAAGAAGAGATGAATTTATAAATTACATCATCAAAATAATTCTAATTGATGAATTGAGGTTAATTAGATTAATCAAATATTAGAAAACTTAATTTACTTATTGAAAAGATTAGAAAGCCTTTTAAACCTCAATTTAATTCAAATAGTACTTGTCCTATATATAGTGAAAATGATTATTTTGAATTTCAATGCTATAATTCAGATCAATCATTTCACCCTATGCAAAAACAAGTGTTAGTAGCTTACGCTTTGAATAAAAGTTGGGAGCTTTTTTCTAATTCTTATAATTTTAATTAGAGAAATAATTTTTCATGGAGAGACCCAATTAATATTCAAAATTCAGAAGCACTTAGACCTAATTTAAACTCTAAATTTCGTCCAAAATAAGAAAACAGATTTTAGAAAAATCAACCTTCTCAAATCCAACTTGATGCTATAGAAATGATACAACAAATGAGCCAAATGATGTAATAAACTGTGAATCAAATGATGCTGTAATAGAAATAAATTATAGAGGCTCTTAGGAATAAGAGAGAAGATGGACAATTACTTAGTCAACCCATAGAAATCTAGGAAACCACCCAACAATAAGATTTCAGCAAGAAGAGTCTAGTAGTATGAATCTAGGAAAAAACCTCTGAAATGAAAATGTTAAGACAGTAAATACATGAAGGAGTGGGAAGATTTTACCTAATCCTTATCCCCAAATATTAGAAGAAAAGAAAAACATGAACAGCCCAAAACAAAATCAGATAGGAGTAGAAGAGGATTTTATAGATTCTACTTAGGAAATTTTGAAATAGAGGACAACTATTCCATTTCTTAAAACTCTAGAGCTTAGAGAAAGAAAGAAAAAAGAACACAATGAAGAAATAAAGAAAATTTTACAAAATATGCAAATTAGTAAATTAGTCTTCCTTTACTCACTACCATTGAACATATTTCTAAATATGCTAGAATTTTGAAAGAAATGTGCACACCAAAAAAGACACCTAGAGTAGAAAAATTATCTATGCATGCTAGTACTTTATTATTAAATCAATTACTATATAAATTGAGAGATATTGGTGCCCTTTTAATTTCGTGTGATATTACTGGATCTATTTTTTTAAATGTATTACTTGACACCAATGTTAGTATTAATTTATTACCTGTAAGTATTTTTGATAAACTTAATATTATTGATCTTAAACCTTCTATTGTTACCTTACAATTTACTAATAGATCCAGAAAACATCCTAAAGGTATTTTAGAAAATGTGATAGTGACTGTTAGAGGGTGCAAATTTTCAGCTGATTTTATAGTGTTGGAAATAAATTTTAATGGACAATTTTATGATACATCAATCATTCTAAGGAGACTATTTTTGAATATAGCAAAGATGAATATTGATTTTCTCACAAGTATTGCAAAAAATTCATGTGGAGATCAATCAGTAGAAATTAAAATTTTTGAGGTATCAAATGATCTTAAGAAATCCCAAGTATATGATTGTCATAACATAGATCTTCTAGATGATTTTGATGATCTAGATGTTATTGATAACTATGTGCTGAAAGAATTAAAAGAAATAGATAATATAAATTTGAGAGAAAAGAAAGAAGAAGATCATCTGAATTTAGAGTTGAAACTTCTTCCCTCTAATTTTAAATATATGTTTTTAGATGAAAATAATTCATTTTCTATTATTATTGCAACTGATTTGAGTGATGAACATGAAGAAGAATTATTAGATGTACTTTGAAAAAATAAGAAGACTATTGGCTGAAAATGAATGATCTTAGGGGCATTGATATGAGTGTATGCATGCATAGTATATATCTAAAGGAGGGGGCTAGGACTAGTAGGGAACCACAACGAAGATTAAATCCTAACATGATGAAAATTATATAATTTTTTTTTTAAAGTGGCTGGCTGCTGATATTATTTATCCTATTTTAGATAGTAAATGACTTAGTCTTACACAAGTGTTGCCAAGAAAACCAAGGATCAAGGTTATAAAAAACAAAAATAGGGATGAAATACAAACAAGATTAACTACTTGTTGGAGGGTTTGCATTGATTATAGAAAATCAAATTCAATTACTAGAAAAGATCATTTTTCCCTACCATTTACTAATCAAATTCTAGAAAAATTAGTTGAAAAAAGACTTTTTTATTTATGGATAGATACTCTAGTTATAATCAAGTTTATATAAACCCTTTAAATCAAGAAAAACTAACTTTTACTTGTCCATTTGGTACTTTTTCTTTTAAACGCATATCTTTTGGTTTGGGTAATGCTTTAGCCACATTTCAAAGATGTATACTATCTATTTTTTTGATATGACTGAAAAATGCATGAAAATTTTTATGGACGATTTTTCTATTTTTGGTGAATCATTTGATGAATTCTTAAATCATTTACAGCATGTACTTCAGAAATTTCTAGAGAAAAAATTAGTTTTGAGTGGGGAGAAATCACATTTTATGGTTAGAGAGGGAGTTGTCTTGGGTCATATTATGAGTGAAAAGGGTTTAGAGGTGGATAGAGCACAAATGGATATTATATCTAAAATGAAACCTCCTAATTCAGTAAAATAGATTAGATCTTTCTTGCATCATGTAGGTTTTTATAAAAAATTTATTCAAGATTTTTTGAAAATTTCTAAACCTCTCACCATGTTATTATCTAAAGATGTGCCTTTCTATTTTGATGAGAAATATTTTGAGTCTTTTTCTA